GATTAATATTATTCTTATATTAACTGTAATTTATAACAATTATTAACGTATTATAATCTCATGATATGTTTGATAGAATCCTTTAAAATATTAAAATAATAATAATTATAGCAATAATAAGTTTTTTCTTTCTATATTTGGATGATATTCTGTATGCATTTAAACTACAATTTTATTTCAAAGATTTGGTATTAAAATGTATAAAAACTAGACATTTAACTCTTAAATGCATTCAATAGTGATTTGGAGGGCTTTTTAATAGTCCTCATATCCAGGCATTTGGAACTTCTCGGCAAATGACTCGATATTTTCCCTCAAAGACACGATTTTTGAGTGATATTTCTCCGAATTCATGGTCACGAAGAAGTCTTTGAGCATAACTCCCGGCGACGCCGCTTTGATTTCTTGAGCTAATTTCAGGCCTATTTGGGATTCAAGTGGATTAGGATTTCGGTATAGATTACAAATAGTCATTGCTTTGTTAACCTTCATCGATGTAATCGACCACCTTTTCGATGTCACTCTCGTTCAGACCTCTGGTAGTGAGAGCCGGTGTTCCCAATCGGATGCCTCCCGGGTTTAGAGCAGACTTATCGCCGGGAACTGTGTTTTTGTTGCACGCGATTGAGATCTCCTCCAAAACTCGTTCAGCTCTGGCGCCGTTCAGTCCCTTCGGTCTTAGATCGACCCAAACCAAGTGATTGTCGGTTCCGCCCGTCACACAAGTATAGCCACGAGATTGTAAGCCCTTCACAAGTGTTGCGGCGTTTTTTATCACTTGTTTCTGGTATTCAGCGAACTCAGGAGTCGCCGCCTGTTTCATAGCTGTGGCGATGCCTTCAGTCAAACAAACAAATATAACTCACTTGTAAATTGAAACTCAAATCACATTTCGCTTCAGTTATACCTGCGATGGTGTTGTCGTGAGGGCCGCCCTGAAGGCCGGGGAAAACCGCCTGATTTATCTTATCCTCGAAGTCATACAACTCTTTCTCTCCGGTCTTTGAAACCGATTTAACGCCTTTGCGATAGAAGATAACGCCAGCGCGCGGTCCTCTCAGCGTCTTGTGAGTAGTGGTCGTAACGATATCGCAG